GACCTTCCGTCGGGGGGGCGAGGGAGGGGGGGGGGGGCAACGTATGACTCTACAGGCTTACGCCACATCCGCCGACCCCTTCTGTGAGTGTTGCGAGGCCAGGAGTTTCTGGCCAGCGGCGTCTTGTGTGAGGGTGCGGTGTCGCGCGCGGGTGGTGGCAGATACGTAGGGGGTCCAAATGTTTGCGTGATGCCGGTGGTCTGGGGCGTGTTTTGCGAGCGCTTTGCGTGCTGTGCACCCGGGTGCGGGGTGTCCTTCTGGGAGGTCGGCCTTTCGACCCGCAACCAAGTGGAGGAGCACTGGAAGACGAAAGGAGCAAGAGTAGTGTGTGGAAGCTGTGATCAGCGAAGCATCACAGCGAAAGATGTGGCAGATTAATCGAAACGGGTGAAGAGGCTGTTGACGTTCGCAGCGCGCGCGAAACAGTTCGCGCGGCAGCAGCACATTAGCGCCGAGCAAGATAGTGAGCACGTCGCGAGGAAGAGTAAGGTTGTATGCGCGGAGTGCATTGCAGTTGGCGTGACGGCTCGCAATACGGAAGCGTCTGGGGGTCTTTTGGGGGCCTCCTGGGGGCCTCTTGTGGGCTCCTTGGGGCGTCTTGGCGGTTTCTTGAGGGCCGTTGGCGGCCTGTTGGGGCGCTCTTGGGGCCCCCTGGGGCTCGTGGGGGCGGAAAGCTAGATTTTTGAATTGTTGGTTGCCCTCTTGGGCCCCTCTTGGTGCCGTCTTGGAGCCTTCTTGGGCCGTTTTGGGGACCTCTTGGGCCGTCTTGGGGCCATATTGGACCGTCGCGGGGCCGTCTTGGGGGCCTCTTGGGCCGTCTTGGGGCGGTTTTCGGGGCCTCTTGGGCCGTCTAGGAGCGTCGGAAAGCCCAGAAGGCGGATGTGTGAACATTGTACGTTTCACGACGGGAATACGTACATGTCTGCGTCCAGGGACCGTCTTGGGACGCATCTTGGGGGCCTCTCAGGGGCGTGTTGGGCCATCTGGAGGCCATTTCGGGTGTCTTCGATCGCTCTTGGACCGTGTGGGACCATGTTGAGCTCTCTTGGAAACCACTTGGAGCGCTCTTGGGGCCGTCATCGGGGCTCTTTTGGGCCGTCTTCGGCGCCGCTTGAGCCGTCTTAGCGCCTTCTTGGGCTGTCTTGGGGCCCTCTTGGAGGCTTCTTGGGCCGTCTTGGGGCGGTCTTGGGGGCCTCTTGGGCCGTCTGGGAGCGTCGGAAAGCCCGAAAGGCGAATTTGTGAAAAGACGCACGCTTTACGAAGGGAACGGGCTATTTTTGCGTCTAGAGGCCCTCTTGGGACACATCTTGGATGCCTCTTGGGGCCTCTTGGGGGCATCTTGGGCCGTCAGGAGGCCATCTTCGGTGTCTTTGATCGCTCTTGGGCTGTCTGGGACCATATTGAGCTCTCTTGGAGGCCACTTGGGGCGCTCCTGGAGCGCTCTTGGGGCCCTTTTCGGGGCCCTGTTGGGCCGTCTTGGACGCTTGTTGGGCCGTCTTGGGGCCTCTTGGGCTATCTTGGGACCCTCTTGGAGGTTTCTTGGGCCGTCTTGGGGCGGTCTTCGGGGCCTTTGGGCCGTCTTGGAGCGTCGGAAAGCCCAGAAAGCGAATTTCTGAAAATTATACGTTTTACGGAGGGAAGGGGCCAATTTTTGCGTCTAGGGACCCTTTTGGGACGCATCTTGGAGGCCTCTTGGGGCCTCGTGGGGACCTCTTGGGCCGTCTTGGAGGCCTGTAGGCTCGTCTTGGGGCCATCTTGGGCGTCTGGAAGCGCTCGTTTGGCGTCTCGGGGCCCTCGTGGGCCGTCTTGGAGGCCTCTTGGAGCCTTCTGGGCCCGTCTTGATCCCCTTTTGGCCCCAAAAGAGCCCCGTGACGCGCTCGTGGTGGGCCCGGGGGGGGGGGGGGTCAAATCTCCGGTTTGGGGTCCCTGGGGGGGGATTATGGGGGGGGAACTATCTCACACGCCTAGAGACCCACAAGGGGTCGGCGGATTTTGATTTCATGCCGCGGGAGTGTGATCAGTCGGAGCCCAGTCGATCGCAGGCTGTCGACGAGGCCACGAAACCGCGGAGTCATATGCGATCTTTCAGTGCCCGAGACTTCCTTGCCCCTCTGATGCAGCAGTTTTGCGGATGTCGGGCGGGGCGTTTTCAAACTGTGGCTTTCGTCTCAGGCGCCGTTCACATCCGTCGTAAACATGTTGCAGCAGTTTCACGGGTGAAGGTCGGGTGATTTTCAACATGAGGTTCTCGCCGGAGGGGCCCCGCACTTCCGTTTTCAAAGCTCGCAGCAGCTTCACGGATGGAAGGCGGGCCGTTTTCAAAGTGTGGTTATCACGTGAGCGCCTCGCACACTTAGTTCAAAGGTTCACAGCAGTTTCAAGGATTCGTACGGTCGAAGTCCCAGGACAGGTGTTCTGGCACGGTTTGGGGCTGTGAGGATGCAACCGTCATATTGGTTCGCTTTGTTGAAGTCCCAGGAACGATGGCCTGGCACGGTTTACTATAGTCTGGACGCAGCAATTGCGCTGATCCGCGACGGTGAAGTTACAGGAACGGTGCTTGTCACGTCTGACGAGTTTTAGACGATTGTCTTCTGATGGGCCACTTCCCGCATTGAACATAGTTGAATTCAAGGACCCATGATCATGAAGAGGGAACTTTGAGGGATGGCTTATTTCAACATCGTTGATGCATCTTGGATTTACACTGGTCTCCCTCCACCCCCTCGTCCCCGCGAGCTCGGAATTCGAAGCGTGAGAGGTCGCAGCCAGGTTTCGCACGCAACAGGTCGCCCACGTGTGACCTTTTCGCCGTGCATATCCCCCCTAGTCGCGCTGGTCTTCTCCGAGCTTCACGCTCTACCCCCTACGTCCCTCTGGGGAGGCCACCCTGGCTCAGAGGACCCCTTGCCGCACAGACGTGGTTGCGTGTGCAGCGTAAACCCAGACCTCCAAGGATCTATTTTTCTTTGACCCAGGCGTTTTTCCTCGATGTCGGCCTCCTGGGGCCCGGACCATCAAACATCGATCCTGGACGACAAGCTACCTCCGGGGAAAGGGTCTTGACGTTTGGGGCCGCGGACTGAAAAACCGTGTCGGAGGATGTTTGCAGAGGGTGCAGGGTCTGCCAAGGCTTCCGGAGGGGCGCCGGCCCAGGCCTCCTGGGCTCACCAGTTCTCCCGACTGTACGGGTCGGACGAGTTGGGCGCGAACCAGCCGCGCGTTGCGAGCCCGCCCCTGGCGACGGGGGGGAGGAGGAGGAGGAGGAGGAAGAGGAGGAGGAGGAGGAGGAGGAGGAGGAGGAGGAGGAGGAGGAGGAGGAGGAGGAGGAGGAGGAGGAGGATCTGCTGCAGGCAGCCGTTTCTGGCCACGCCGCCCAGGCACTCCCCGGGAGGCACGGCCGCCTCCAGCGCCAGGAGGCGCCTGCAGCCAGCTGCAAGCAGCTCGGTCCCCTTGGGTGCCGACCAGCGCTGTGCTGCTGCACGCCCCAGCGAGCCCCGACTGTGCTGCCCAACGCCCTCGGAGGTACCTGGGGCCCCCCGGGCCCCGGGGTCCCCCCAAGAGGCCTTCAGAGGCCTAACGGGCCCGACCACTTCCAGAAACTGAACGCTCGGAGGGAGGAGGTGTGACACCAGCACTACCAGGGGGGCCACCTCCAGCGAGGAGGTCCACGATGCCTTCCCGAGCTGGAGGCTGGGGATGTCTCGGGCGAGAGGGGAGGACCACACCACCAGGGAGGCCCACCCCTTGCTCGTCGCATCTCCTCGCCCTGGCGGTACTGGCGTCGCCTTTCTATGTTCCTATCATAAGCCCCCCTCGATCCCAGGCCCTCTTGAGGGATCGAGGCCTGTGGAGGGTCGAGCATCGATAGAACCCTGGCCCAAGGAGGCTCGAGCCGCGGGCTCGGGCAGCGCCGCCAGCCCGTCGAGCACGGCCCTCTCCCCCCCTGGGCCCGAGCCGAGGCGGTTCGGGGGGAGGGAGAGGAGCAGGAGCGCCGGGGGTGGAGGGAGCGGAGGGGGCGGAGGGCATGGAGGAAGTCCGTAGCCACCTGGCTCAAGCCATTTTGGCTCAAGGTGGTTGGCGCAACCTGGGCCCCAGATTTTCAGACCTGCTGTCAGCAGGTGCGAACTCTCACGATTACTTCCCATTTTCGTTCCTCCGCGCGATGTCCTGGCGCGCTTCCTGGTCAGGACGGAGCTCCTCCCCCAAGGCGTACAGCTGGACCTGCAAGTGCTGCGACGCCTCCGTCTCTTGGAATTTGTCTTGGTGTTGGCGCTGCGGCGAGCACTACTCGGGCAAGAAGACCCACGAGGCGGACGGGGAGAAACCCAAGACCAAGGGAGCCAAAGGACGCCGTCCGCGCGGTGGAGGCCAAGCCGACGGTGCTCAGCAAGGCGGTGGAGGCGGCGGTGGCGGGGCGTTGGCAGGCGCCGACAGCCCGCCTGGCCTCCCGCTTGCCCCTGGAGGCCCACCCCGTGCTGGCGGAGTGGGGGCCGAAGGGGGGACTGCCCCGACGCAGGTGGAAGGCGGCGCTGGCACAGCCCCCCCCCCCTTCCATCACGGGCCAGCAGATCCAGATCTGCCAGCAGGCTTTGGACATCATGCGTAAGCTGGGCACAGTCGGCCAGCCAGCCCAGCAGGCCTTGGCAGGGTCCTTGCAGACCTTGCGTGAGGCGCGCACGGCTACCAAGCCGATCAGCGCCCAGCTACAGCAGGCCTCAGACAAGCGCATCAAGCATCAGAAGCAGCTCGAGCGACATGAAGAACAACTTCGACTACACCAGCTCCGTGTGGTCAATGCTCGTCAACACCTTGAACAGCAGGAACAACTTGTTCAGCAAGAGCCAGCAGCCATCGAGGAGACCCGCATCAAGATCGAGGAGGCAAAGAAGGCAGAGGCAGCCGCAGACTCAGCAGCGGAAGGCGAGCAGGTGCCAGACGTTGCTCACAATCTTGATGATGCACCTGCAGTTGAATTGTTGGCTGCGGTTGAGCGCAAG